CGATTTTCAATATGTTATTAATATTTGATTAAGAGGATTTATTAATTAGCATGCTTGACTCTGTTTGAAAAAAACTTGAACAAAGGTATATTCGTTCGAAAGCGCTAACACATGTTGAACATGTAAAAAAAAATACGCTTTCTACAATTTTACTCTCGTTAGAATTTCGACGTGTTTTCACGAATTCTTTTCTATCGTTTCTCTAACTAGTTTTAGAACGTTCCATTGTCTAAAGAGTCGTTTCACTAATGGCTTTGATATTGTACTTTCCATGTTCAGACTGTTGTACCGTTTCAATGAGTCACATCAACCTTCTTTGCTCTTAAATGAATGAGAATCTTCACGGTTGAGAAATAAATCTTCTAACATTGATGATATGTTTATTTAGAAAATGAATAAGGTGATATGTAAACTACTTGTGAATGAAAGTAAATCATACGCATACTTTCGCCGATATCAGCGAAACAAAAACAAATCTCTCATTGTTGTGTCTTATGACATATTCATGAGAACTATCGGTAAAAATATAAAGAAAAAGCTAAACACCACTATTAATTTCATTACATTTCAGTCAGGGTATTCAAACACAGAACAATTTTTAACTCAAACTATGGATGATTAGACGGCGAGTAATAATGTTAAATGTCCAAACACTTGCTTTTAATAGTTCGATTTAAATATACATTAAAAGAAAAAGTGTTTCAACTTGATATTTTATGTATATTTAGTTTTTGTTGATTTTTGTGTTTTTGCGAAATTGTTGAAATGAATATGAGTTTGGTATTATAAATGTATTTTGAGTTTGACTTATACCTACTATCTTGATTAAAATTTCGGTCAACCTTTATCTTTGGAATCTTTCACCACTTACACGATGAAGAACTTCCGTTTTTTTTCCTGTCTTCTTCAAGGTCTTTATTATGGAACAAGGTTGCTTATCAATATTTATATGAGAGGTTGATAAGATTATAAAAGGACAGGAGAAAGAACGTCAAATATGTAAAACATCTCAAGATGTTTTGTTAAGTTTTTTTCTGTTGTTTGGATACTAAATTCGATAAATCCACAGGAATCCATTAAAAATTTCATATCTTTCGATACTATATGTGGTAATGCAATTGTACCACGGAGTTTAGATGCCATACTTTACCTATTCCTGTCAATGTGCGTTTTCCATTTTTTGACAAATTATATGAGGAAATCAAACTATTTAGTCATGATTTGATTCTCTTTGAAAATGTTGCATATGTTTTACCACACGCACCACCAAATCCATTTCAATTACGTAATTTTATATGTGCTGAACTGCATTGAACCGATACTGATGTATTTCAAGGATCTTCAGGCAATATTTTCTATCGACAAATTTCTGAAGAAGAAACATGAATCCCAATTTCAAACACGGCAAGAAATATATTTCCTCAATTATCGACTAATTCAATTATGTGGGCACTTGTGGTTACATGGCATAGAGTTTCAATACATGCGAGTAGTTCAGATTGAAATACTTATTAAGTAAGTTAAAATATTTGTACAAGTACTATTCGAAACTGTAATTATTTTTATGATCATCTAGACGTAACAATCAGAGTGATTTAGTATGGTTTCATCTTTAAATTTTAGGCTATGAAAACAACCGATGGTTATTTTTCCTTTATTACTTTTATATACAAGTAATTTTAATAGTTTGCTAAACCATGCTGTAATTTTGCTTAAGTAGGTTTCAATGCAGACAATCAAATTATTTATTTTACTAAACCGAAATTCTTCACATTCGATATTATTACTATAGTAAATGATTCAAACATTGAAATTTCCGGCCAGTTTATTTTTTGTATACATGGTAACATTAGTGATGCACAATGCAATACAAATCAAGGTTTACAAAGTTTACCTTTTCGAGGTTCAATGTACGATAGTTATGAATTGAGATTGTTTGGTATTAGTTTTACTGAATCATGCTACAGTGTTGAAATCAATAGTCAACTAATGCGTAATTGTAGTTTTGTAACAGTTTTTATAGCATCCACAATGCCCATAGTAATCCAAAGGTTGATTTCAAATTAAACTTTTTACTTCTCAAGGACGTCTAGCTGGATAAAGAGATTTTTTTGATCGTTTATAACTGAAACTAATGGTGATTTAATTTTAAGTAATTATGGTGAAATTGATAATATAAAATTCTGTGAAATTACTTGTACGTCCGGTTCTTATATCCTATTCAATGCTTTCAACTTTTTGTTCGGCTTGGTTTGCTTCTACAAATTAATGCAAATATTCAAAATTTGACCGATCAAGTTTTTGCATGTCCATGTCAAGTTAGTACAACATGAGATGAAGAACAATTAGGATTCATTACTGATCCAACCTGTTATACACAAAAATCAAACATATGGAATTACCGTTTTAATCGAACAGCTAAAGGATGTTATCGACGAAAAACAACAACAAGTGATGCAGATGCATATTGTTGTTATGATAATAGTGGTGTTCGAATTATTGATTGGTGATGAGAAAACTGGTTCATTAAACTTTGAATGAATGTATCTTATTAATAAAGAAGAATCAAGAAAGTGATCGAAATCCACCAGATCTATCGAACATGGCTTCGAAATATTCTGTGAATTAGATTTGGGTGATAGTTCTGACATTAGTCATCCTATATTATTGATGATCAATATATTTGTTAGATTTTCTCTGTCATCTAAACCATATCAAATTAAACTTATAATGATCATGCACATGTATATTCCAAGGTTTTGTTTCTAAATAAAAATAACTTTAATTTAAAAAAAACAGGATATAATCCAGTACACGCTAATTGTAAAACAAATTTTTATGATAACTTGTATTTATTTCTCAATTGTATTTAAGATTATTTTTGAATCAGTATAAAATTTCATCATCATTGTTCAAAATATCATTTGTTTTTTTATTTCCAAAGTTTATTGTAATATAAAAGTTATATTATGCGAATAGGTAGTCATAGTCTGCAGACTTATTGATTCTTCTCAGTATATTTATCATGAACTAATAGTGTGAATATAGTTTTACAATATTTATCATCGAGGATAACTCGTTTGTCGTCATTGATGCCATAATAAGAAATTGTCATTATTAACGACAACCAAAACCATTTTCAGAAATAGGAAAAAATCATCAAGTCTAAAATTCAGTCCATATGATCATAATGATCTTCTATTGATGATATTCGAAAAAAAATGAAATAGTCTACATTCATTTTTATTAATACACTTAAACAATATTACTTATTCTTCTCGAAGATTCTACAAAATGTGGATAATCTTATTCAAAATCTTCAAATGATATAGGTTTGGTTAAAACTTTAAAAAGCAAACTGATAAAATTACAAAATAAAGGTATTATAAAGAAACTAGTATCAATACAAACACTAGCTACATTCAAAATTAATTATATAATTAGAATAGGCAACTATAAAGATTCTAACATGAATAACATCTGAGATTAGTAAAGTCAAAGATTCAGTTGATAATTCATCAATAAATGCTGAACTTTCATATGATTTGCCATGCAAAATTATATGCTTGATAATAGCATCAATATCGATTCTATTGATGAGATTAAAGCATATATTGAATAACTGATCAATCATTCAGCTTATCGAATATCAATAACATTTCATCAATTGACGAAATCAATACATTATTTTTCAGCACCATAGCAATTGATATCTTTGAAAAACAACAGTTTGATGTTGTTGATAACCTTGTGGCTCATTATATAAACTTAGCTCATGCGATGATGAGACTTGAACATCAGCGTAGTCTATCGAAGCTTGAAATCACTCAGATTTATCAGCAATATCCGACCAGTCTTATTTAAATAACTTTATAGCAACATGACATTTTGAGCGTAGATCTATGGGTACCCTATAGAATAGCACTTGAGGACTTTTGGGTACCCCAATAATCCTCAAAAATTTACAGGTATGTTGCAGATAGTACTCGCCTTAATTAGTGCTCAGCCTAATTAGTGCTAATTAGTTGAGTACTCCGTCTAATTAGTTCTAATTAGTTCAGTACTAATTAAGGTGAGTACTGATTAGACTGACAAGTGAATACTAATTAATTAAGTAACTTACAGTTACATAATGCTCGCAGTCTATGGCTATAACTGATGGGATCCTATTATGTGCTGTTAACTATACAACATGGACTGATGTTAATTGGTAAAATATAGACTGGTGTGAACTGAGCTTCAAATTTGGAGTTTACGCAGTCTGGAGCTCACTTTTATTGACCTCTGGAGAATTTTATTAGATTTTATGGAATTCTAAAGGACTTCAATGGACTTCAGTGGACTTCATGGGCCTTCAATGGACTCCAATGAACTTCAATGGACTCCAATGGACTTCAATGGACTTCGTTGGACTGAAGTCCGCTGTTTTCCCCCTTGTAAACTCCTCACGACACAATTCTTGTAGTAATTAAAATCAATATTGAAATATCGAATTACAAATTCGAAATCTAATATTGACTATTTTTTTATCATCTAACAAAAGCTGTCAAAATAGAAAACTATCATTTGAAAAAACGTTTTAACCTAATTGAAAAAAACTCAACATCTAAATGTACTTGTACATAATATTATATATGATTTACATGCATTTATCTTTTAGTTAGATCTCAAAAATTGATTATTCAATAACAATATTAAGACATACTTTTATAAATATTTGCAAAATTGCCTAATAAATTTTTGCTTTTATCAGTGAAGATGCAAATCAGATAAATGAAAAACACAGTCATTCCTTTACCGAGTATTTCTGATGATAATGAAAGAAAAGAATGTTTTATTAATTCCCATAGGTCCAGGTACAAATTAAAATCAAAATAGACAGAAAAAAATAAACAAAGTAGCTCATAGAACAGAAAAATGTCAAAAAAAAAATGTTTGAATCAACCGTTTTATATGGAATGACAAGTTTATTAATTTCCTAAGAATAAATTGTTTATTGTTTAAAGTTCTTTCGTTGCTGATGATTGCTCTCGATTTTTTTCTGTTTTAACAGTTGTAGATTCAACAACAGCTGGTTTTTCAGTAAACGTTGGTGGTGCCATTGTTGTATCATGTGCACGAACTGTATGAACATGATCTGAATTTACTATAAACAATAAAAGATTAAAAAAAATGTTAGCGTAATACAATAAAAGAGAGACGTATAACTAATTACCTGTAGTAGCTGTTGTTGTTTGAGTAGTAGTGGTTGATTTAGGGGTAGCTGCTGTTGTTGTTGTTTGGGTTGTAGGCGCAGTTGTCGTTGTCGTTGTTTGGGTAGTTGGTTTAGTTGTTGTTGTTGTTGTTGTTGTTTGGGTAGTGGTAGTAGTTGGTTTAGGAGTTGTTGTTTGGGTAGTGGTAGTAGTTGGTTTAGTAGTTGTTGTTGTTGTTGTTTGAGTAGTAGTTGGTTTAGGAGTTGTTGTTTGAGTGGTAGTAGTAGTTGGTTTAGGAGTTGTTGTTGTTGTCTGGGTAGTAGTAGTAGTTGAGCGAGGAGTAGTTGTTGTTTGTTTTGTTGTTGCTAAGTAACACAACAAACACAGTCAATTGAATAATTGAAAATTAAAAAACTTACTAGCTGTTGTTGTTTTAGTTGTTGGACGTTGTGTTGTTGTTTTCTCTAAAAATATAAAAGAAATATATATATCATTCTTTGGTTTTTGTTTTTTTATATAGTTAATTACTTGTTGTTGTAGTTTTTTGTGTTGTTGATGTATCTTCTTTTTTATTTTTGAATTCTGCAACACGACGATCAATTTCAGCTTTCATTACCCAAAAACGATCCATTAAATCATGACGAATTACATTAGCTGTTTCAGCGAAATTATTCAAATATTTTGGTAAATCTTTAAATGTTTTTTCAAGCATAGCACCTTCAAATAGAAAAAAAAAAAAACATTTTTCTTTAATCAAATTTTAATTTAAATATACTGTATTCTTTTGCATAAGGTTGTTTAAGATGATGACCGGCTAAATCAGGTAATATTGTTGCTAAATAGATAAATAAAATTTCTATAAATATAACAATAATTAAATAAAAACTCACCAACAATAACACCGGATACAAAAACAAATGTATAAATAAATATTGAACAACAAAATGAACGTCCTTTAGGTTTATCATCTGTCGTGGCATTGTTTTGTTTATTTTTTGTAGGTTTTGCCTAAACAAATATTTTTTTTTTTTTTGTATTATAATAAAATCAAATAAACTTTACCATGATGACAATAAGAAAAAAAAATCAATGAAATATGAAAATCTGAAAGAATTAACAACCGAAAAAAAAAACCAACAATCACAATGACTTGTTTTTTTGTTAAAAAAATAAATTCGAGGTCATTTATATGTTGGTAATGTACACAAAAAATGCTGACGACGACAGAAATATTATCCAGCTATATCAATGGTTCGTCATACGATCCAATCAAAGCGAATCATGAATCATGAAATGATATTTCGACACATATAATTACAAAAAAAGAAATTCTTTTCGTATCTTTATTTTAAAACACCAAATACATGGCTGATGATGATTATATTGAAGAATTTAATATCACAGAAAGTGATTTAGATTCTGCTTTTAATCCAACACGTCGACGAGGACGACAAAGTAAAGAAGAAGCTATTTATGGTAAGATTTAGTTTTTGATTAAAGAAAAATATTAAATAAATAATTATATCACATAGGTATTTGGGCAACAGCAGCTGAACGAGCATCAAATCGTTCAACAACATCATCATCATCATCTTCTTATGGTCGAGTATCTCAAGGAATATCATTTGTTAGTGGTGGTGTTAAATTAGGATCAAAGATTGAAAAGAAAAAAACAGAAACGAAAACAAAACCAGTTATAATTGAAGGTTATGGTAGTGATGAAGATAGTGATGAAAAATTCGATGATGAAGATGATGATGATGATGATGTTATTGAAGTAATTGGAAAAAAAAGAAGAAAACGTGGTGATAGTAGTGATGATGATAATGATAGTGATATAGAAGAAGAACAAGATGAAGTTAATCAACCAATTGGATCTGTAAGAAGAAAAAATTTTGATCTTAAAAACAAAGAAAAAAAATAAAATAAAAACTTAATTATTTTAGAGTGATGAAGAAATTGAAACACCAATTGTTCAACGTCAACCACCAAATGTTCAATATCAACGACCACCACCAACAAATACAGGACCAATTCATGACAAGTATAAAATTATTTATTTATTTTTATTTAAATTATCTATTTGGTTTTATCATTTTAGAGATTTTGGTGCATTTGAAAAGCATACAAGAGGTATTGGTATGAAGCTATTAATGAAGGTACGTTTTATTAGTAACTATTTTATTCGAAAATCTGTTAGAAAAAAGGATTTTATGTTCTCAAAATTCTGATCCAAGTTCTATAGTATATCTATAGCAATGAGGAATAATTCAGTTTTTCACACTAAAATTTCATGCGTATTGACTCTATTTAATAGAAATAACAAAATGTAGTTGTTTTTTATATATAACTTAATAATGGAATATTTAGATGGGCTTCAAAAAAGGTCATGGCTTGGGAAAAGATCTTCAAGGTCGAGCTTTACCTATTCAAGTTGTGAAACGTCAAGGTAAAGGTGCAGTTGGTCGATATGGAAATGAAGATCCAAATCGTGTTAAGCCCACTACAGGTAATTAGAATCTTTTCTCTAAATTTAAATTAATTTTGTTGATTCTTTTTTTTTTTTATAGAACCTGAAATCAGTGAATCAACAAGAAGATCGAAAAAAAGTGCTGGTCCTAGTGTACCACAATGGAGAAAACAACAACGAGAAGTAATAAAACTTTTTATTCTATTAACCAAAAGAAAAACAAACACTTTGTTCTTTTTCTATTTAGAAAGCACCTAAAGAACAATATGTTTATAAGACTTTAAACGACGTATTAAAAGAACAAACAACTAAATTTCATAATAAAAAACCTAGTGGAGAAACTCGAGAAAAAATTATTGATATGACTGGACGTGAACAACGTATTCTTCAAAATTATGATTCAATAACAACAAAACAATATGATAATGAACAAGTATTTTCATTAAATGAATTAACACATAATCTTGATTTAGTTATTGAATCATGTGAAGAATCAATGATTCGTTCACATCGAAGGTAAGAAAAAAAAAAAAAGATTTTTGCTAAATGATAGAATTCATTGAGAAATTTCGTCATACTTACGAAATTTTAGTAATACAAAATTTAGTCAATGATAAAGTTATTTTTTCATGACGCTTTCTCTCATCTATTCTTGACATAACACAATTTGTGAAATCGAAACCGATAGTCTTTTTTTTTATCATTAAAATAACTACTTCAGTTAATGTTATAAATTCAGAGTATGAAAGGTATATTTTCGGATACGATGTACCATGTCATAGAAAATTTTTATTAATTTGGTAAGTGAAAGTACTTGTTCGATTTTAAAATTCTCCTGCATACTTCGATAATAAATATACGAATATACTATCAGTAGAATTTCGAACTATTCAAGTATTTGGTACAAATGCTCGAATATATATAAGACAAATTAAACAAAAATATTTGACCGAGTGCCTAATACATATTTTTTTTAAGCTGCTATGCTTTGTTGAGCATTCAGCTGAGCAATTATTAAACTATATAAATACTCTGATTTCAATTTATTTTTACTACACTCTAAAAAATTTCCGTATTGTGGGAAACCGACCTGAAAGGGTTTCCGAACGCTCGGAAACCTATTAAAGATTTCCGAGCTTTCGGAAACCCATCTTTTTTCTTCGAAAACCCTCAAAGGGTTTGCGAGTCAATGTCGGAAACGGATTTGGGTTTCCGAGCGTTCGGAAACCCTTTCAGGTCGGTTTCCCACAATACGGAAATTTTTTTAGAGTGTAGGATAGAATCATGTGTATTTTTGCAATTGTGTATTATTTTGATAGATGAATATTTTCTATTGATTCACTACAATGAATTCTAAAACTAAACAAATACCTTATTTACTTATACACCTATCAAAAGAGTGATGAAAAAAAAAACACTGCAAAGGTTTCAATGTCTTTCAAAAGTTGATTTTTAATAGTAGAATGATATGACAAAATTTTCTAGGTAATACTTTAAATACTCATTGTTTCAAAATAGTTTACTAGCAAGAATTTGAATTGAATATCTGTCTCAGTACTAATGAAACTTATCTATTAATTGGTTTCTAAGACTTTTAGAATTAATCATTTGAATAATTCTAATTTTTTTTTTTTTACATTAATAATTTTAATTTCACTTTTGTTTTAGACAAAAATTTGATGAAGATACAACTGTTACATTAAAATACGATTTAAATTATACACAACAAATGATGTCAGATGAAGAAACAAGTATAAATCGAATAAATATTCTTTTAAATATGATTAATCAGTAAGTGAAATTTAGAAATAAATAATTTATTAAAGAATTTTATTTTTATTTTAGATGTGAACAATGTGTTAAACAAGTTCAAAATATTTCTGATTTATTTTTTTTACAACGAATTTTTGAAGAACTTAAAAAAAATTATGAAAAAGAATATAGAAAATATCATTTATGGGATTTAGCTGTTCCTGTTTTACATAGTCATTTAAAACAACATCTTTCTTTAAATTGGAATATTTACAATAATGATCATGAATTAATTGATTTATTTTCTAAATGGAAACAAATACTTGAAGATGATACTATTGATTTAACAACTGATAATTCAATACATTCAAAAGAAAATATGGATCCATATCATCGACTTATATGGGATGTTTGGATGCCATTTTTACGAAAATCTATTCTGTAAGTAAATATCTTCAAATTGAAATATAAAAATTATTTTATATTTTTATTTTTATAGTGAATGGAATCCACGTCAACCTGATTATTTAATTGATTTTATTGAACAATGGTTACCATATTTACCACCATGGATAATTGATAATATTCTTGATCAACTTATTTTTCCAATACTTCATCGTGAAGTTGATGCATGGAATCCATTAACTGATTCAATACCTATACATTCATGGCTTCATCCATGGTTACCATTAATGAAAGATCGTCTTGAACCACTTTATCAACCGATTCGTACAAAATTAGGTCAAGCTTTACAAAATTGGCAACCATCAGATTCATCAGCTAAAGCTGTTCTTATTCCATGGCAAAAAGTTTTTAAACAAGGTACATGGAATGCATTTATGAATCAACATATTGTACCAAAATTAGTTTCAACAATGCAACAATTTATTATTGATCCTCGACAACAAGTTTTAGGTATGAAATAAATCAATTTTTCTGAAAAAAAAAATTTTTTTTTCTATTAAATCTTTATTTAGATCCATGGCATTGGTTTATTGCTTGGTATGATATGGTACCATTACCAAGTATGATTGCAATATTAGAAAAAACTTTTTTTCCAAAATGGCTTCAAGTATGATTTCTTTTTGTTGTAGAAAAAAATTTAACATTGAATGTTTTTTTTTCTTTTCTTTTCTTAGGTACTTAATATTTGGTTAAATACAAATCCAAATTATCAAGAAATTCAACGATGGTATAGTGGTTGGCGTTCATTAATTCCACAAACAATTATTAGTCATACAATAATAAAAGAAAAATTAACAGAAGGTTTAATGATGATTGATCGAAGAATATCTGGAACTGTTAATGTTCAACAATCAATACCAATACCTCCACCTCAACCATCTGTAAATGTTAATTATGAAGTAAGACTTTTGTTATATAATTGAGTTTTTTTAATATATTTTGATTTATCTTATATTTTAGGCTATTTATAATCGTGGTGTAGCAACATCATCATCAACAGTTGTTTCATCATTTAAAGATCTTGTTGAAAAGAAAGCTACAGAACATAATCTATTGTTTTTACCAATAACAAATCGAACATATGAAGGAAAACAAGTTTATCAATTTGGAAATGTGAATATATATATTGATAAAAATGTTATATTTCTATATGAAAATAGTCAATGGATACCAGTACGTTTAAATGATCTTATTAAAAAAGCAATTTAATTCATATATTCAGTGTCTTTCTTTTTTTCTTGTCTTTTTGTTGTTGTGGTTTTGATGAACTAATGTTTTTTTGTAAATGTATTGATGCAAAGAATTTCTTTTGCTAAATGAAATATAACAACATTTTCATTTATTACAGATTCCGAAAAAAATGCGTTAGAACAACAAA